CGTCCTTAGCGAGAGAGTCAGCCTACGTCCTACGATGGACCAGAGCAAATCCTTCGTCCCAGTCAAACAGAAGTTCCGTTGCAGCCTTAGAATATTAGCGAGAGAACCCTTCGATAGCCCACACGACAGCCAGATCAGAAGAGCCGCTGGCAAAACTATGCCGCTGCCAAACTATGCTAACCTAGGGATAAACCCCACGCACCCCGTTCACTGCTTTTTCTTCGAAGAAAAACACAGTAGTCCTATATTGAAATTCCAAAACTTATTTAGTCCCATTTATGACAATTTTCGAATATTGATTACAAACAATGATTTTTTGTGGCGGATGAAATGAAGTACGAGCCGGGTATGGGGTGGTCATACCCGATTTAACAGCTAGCTTTGCATGTATAATTAATAAATGTATGAGCAAATGACAGGGTAGATGAACCTGCTAACAGTGTAATAACGCAAAGTTCATACAGATAGCGGCAGTTATGAATGGACAGTGCATCTCTGATCATTCATGCATGGATCATTAACCAATTAATTAATTAGTTAATAAAAGCATGACAAGATGGTTAGGGTGGAATTAAAAGAAGTGGTGTGTAATTAATGAATTGTCGATCTAATTGAATTGGGTTGCAAAATATATACACTTGCTGGAAACAAAGGAAACCAATCAACCAACCCCATCCAATTATATTAATTAATTATAGGTGGGATGGATGTAGCTAATCAATGGCATGCTAAAGAAGTGCATTGAACTCGGTCATCGAGAACTCCATGGAACAGCTCGTTACGTTGGGGCTTCTTTGAGTGACAGTAGCAGATGATGCATGGGGCTCTTCTAATTCTCCCTTAGCTTTCTTGATGACTCATCTTTCTTCTTCTGATCCCAACCTCCTTGCTGAAGGGTGGCGATCTGAGTTACCAGCACATCCAATGCTTCCTAGCTTCATCCACGGATGAAAGCATGCTTCTATCGCCTCACCATACGACACCTGCCCGCAGCAAATTCAATTCAACGCCGCATCAACAATGAATGAATGATTTATACGTACATGTTTCTCAGGCCAATCATCTACCTCCTCCATAACAATCAAAGGCAACATCAAACCTTCACGTAACACTCCTAAGTGTTGGAATAAATCCGATAATACTTTAATCTTCATATTGAAATTATCTAGAGAATTAACTGAGCGGAAGCGTACCTGACTCCATCGGAGATGATCTTTAGGGATCCGGGAGACGGAGGCTAGGGTTTGCGTCTTCTAGCTGATACACACCCTCGGGATTATCTCTCTAGCGATGGGATGCAGAAAGACAGAATGGTGTGTACAACTAGGGACCATAACCCCTTATTTATAGAGTGCTTAACCCTAATCAGCCCATCATTGATTAGGTCAAGCCCATGCGTCTCTACACATTTGGGCCCTATACCTTATTAGATAACTTATTAGCCCACTTAAATTAATATCCATAGGACCACTAATTTTTTTTGGGCCTAAATATAAGATAGCATATAACATACAATTAAACCCGATAAATAATATATTGTGAATATTACATGTAGTATAAGTCCAATAATCTAACAATCTCCCACTTGGACGACATACACATGTATACACAATCCTTAGAATTGTATGTTTACTTTAGGAGCTCCAAATTTTTGCTATCAAACTGTAGTCATCCTTAATCAATCCGGTCCACTAATTATATCAACATAGGACCAAAGAAGTCTTTGCTATATTTGAATAACTAGACCCATCAATGATCACATATATTAATATAATAAACGACATGGATCAAGTATAGGTGTGTAGCGTGGAAATAACATATAGTGTGGTCTGGAATAGAATGTCTATTTCCAACTGGTCCACCCTGAGATCAATAATATAACTGTAAGAGTACATAAAACTTTAAACTTTATTTCTGCAGAAAATAACATTAAAACTTGAGTTAACCAAACATAGAAACATTACAAACTCCCACTAAAACTCATAATCCTCAACTGATTTGACACCCATTTGAGCAACATGCTCATGAAACAATTTGGGTGGTAATCCTTTAGTGAGCGGATCCGCAATCATGGAGTTTGTGCTAATGTGCTCTATAGATAACTTTCCTTCTTGTACTCATTCCTTAACAGCCTTAAATTTGACCCCAATGTGTTTTGCCTTGGTCAAACTACTGTTGTTCTTAGCATAGAGGACTGCTGATCTATTGTCACACAATAACTTAAGTGGTCTTTCAATGCTGTCCACTATGCGTAGTCCACTAAAAAAATCTCGCAGCCATAATGCCTGATTGGATGCCTCATAACATGCTATAAACTCTGCTTCCATGGTGGAAGTAGCTGTAAGAGTCTGCTTGATACTCCTCCAGGAGATAGCTCCTCCAGCTAGAATATAGATGTAGCCTGAAGTGGATCTCAAGCTATCTTGACATCCAGCAAAATCAGAATCGGTATACCCAATGATCTCAAGTTGATCCGATCTCCGATATGTGAGCATATATTCCTTTGTTCTCTGTAAATACCGCATGACCCTTTTGGCTGCTTTCCAATGGTCCATTCCCGGATTGCTCAAATATCTGCCTAACATCCCAACAATGTATGCCAAATCAGGCCTTGTACAAACCTGGGCATACATCAAACTTCCTACAGCCGAAGCATAAGGAATGTTCCTCATTTCTTTAGATTCAAAACCATTCTTAGGGCACTGCATGAGACTAAACTTGTCTCCCTTAGAAACTGGGGTATCTCCTGGTTTGCAGTCTTGCATACCAAACCTTTTGAGAATCTTATCGATATAGCTCTTTTGTGAGAGTCCAAGAACGCCTTTGGAGCGATCTCGGTGGATTTGAATTCCTAATACAAAAGAAGCCTCACCAAGATCTTTCATTTCAAAATTCTTTGAAAGAAATCTCTTAGTTTCGTGTAATAAGCCTATATCGTTAGTAGCAAGAAGTATGTCATCAACATACAAGACCAGGAAAATATGCTTACTCCCACTGAACTTGTGGTATATACAATCATCACTGACGTTTGGTTGAAAACCAAAGGATATAATGACTTTATGAAACTTGTGATACCACTGACGAGAAGCCTGTTTGAGCCCATAGATGGATTTCTTTAATTTGCAAACCATTTTCTTTGAATCTCCTGAAACAAAGTTTTCTGGTTGCTCCATATAGATTGATTCCTCAATGTCACCATTGAGAAATGCAGTTTTTACATCCATCTGATGAAGCTCAAGATCAAAATGTGCCACTAATGCCATTATTGTTCTAAAAGAGTCTTTCGAGGATACCGGAGAGAAAGTCTCTTTATAGTCAATTCCTTTCTTTTGAGTGTAGCCTTTAGCAACAAGACGAGCTTTAAACCTTGTAACATTGCCCTTTGAATCCCTCTTGATTTTAAATATCCATTTACAACCAATGGGTTTAATACCTTCAGGCAATGAGACTATCTCCCAAACGTCATTGTCACTCATAGACTTCATCTCATCTTTCATGGCATTAATCCATTCTTGAGAGTTAGAACTTTCCATGGCTTGACGGAAGTTGATTGGATCATCTTCCGCAAAACCAACATCCGATTCTTGTTCTTGGAGGAAGACAATTATTTCTTCCACCAATTCCCAATTTTCCTCATGTTCTAGGAGAAATACAATATAATCATCCGGAATTGCGCTTCTCCTCTCTCGAGTGGATCTCCTTAATGGCACCTCAGGTTCTTGAGGTTGTTGAGTTTGATCCTCATTAACAAATTCAGGTACTTGATTGGGGATGTTTTCGAGATTGTCATGAACTGGAGTTGTTTCTTGAACATCATTAGGAATAAACATATCTTGATCATGTTCAATGACAACTGAAGGAAGAGTAACATGTTCTTCCTCAAAGACAAAATCTCTAACCTTATCTCCCCACCCCCCAAACTCAATATCCTCAAAGAACCGGGCATTACCCGTCTCAAAAATAGTCCTGGTAGTGGGATCATAAAATTTATACCCCCTTGACCTCTCAGAGTATCCTACAAAATAGCTACTAACTGTTCTTGAGTCCAGTTTCTTTTCATTTGGCCTATAAGGCCTTGCCTCAGCTGGACAACCCCAAACATGGAAATGATTTATACTGGGTTTCTTTCCAGTCCAAAATTCATAAGGGGTTTTAGTTGTAGCTTTAGTGGGAACTCTGTTAAGTATGTAAGCTGCAGTTTTCAGTGCCTCTCCCCAGAGTGAATCGGGTAAAGTAGTATGACAAATCATACTCCTAACCATGTCCTTCAATGTACGGTTTCGTCTCTCAGCAACACCATTCATGCTAGGAGTTCCTGGCATGGTGTACTGAGGAACAATTCCACACTCCTCTAGGTATTTAGCAAATGGCCCTGGACGTTGTTCACCGGAACCATCATATCTACCATAGTATTCACCACCACGGTCAGATCTAACGGTTTTTATTCTTTTGCCTAATTGATTTTCAACTTCGGCCTTATAAGATTTGAACACGTCTATTGATTGGGACTTTTCATGAATGAGATAAAGGTAACCATAACGAGAGTAATCATCTATGAATGTGATAAAATATGTTTGGCCATTTCTACATGGTGTAGGGAATGGTCCACAAATGTCCGTATATATCAATTCTAATAGATCTGAAGCTCTCTCGGCACCTAACCTCCGTTTGTTCGTTTGTTTTCCCTTAACGCACTCAACACAAATATCAGAATTTGAGGAGTCAAGAGAATCAAGAATTCCATCTGACACAAGTCTCTGAATTCTTTCTTTAGAAATATGTCCTAGACGCTTGTGCCAAAGTGAAAATGAATTCTCATTGGTTAATTTTCTTTTAGTACCACGAGTACTTACATTCAAGGTTTCATTATATGAGGTATTTATATCAAGTGAATATAGATTATCATAAACTGATAAAAGACCAGTACCAATAAGTTTTGAATCTTGAAATAGACTGAACTGACTATTTCCAAATGAACAAGAATAACCAAATTTGTCCAATGCAGAAATAGAAATTAAATTCCGCCTAAATGACGGCACAACAAATGTCTCTTTCAAATCCAAATAAAAACCAGTCTTTAATAATAATCTAAAAACACCGATAGCCTCAACTTCAACCCGCTTGCCATCACCGACATAGATGTATCTTTCACCATCAATTGGTTTTCGGCAGCTCAGGCAACCCTGCATAGATACACTTATGTGAGTAGTAGCACCGGAATCTACCCACCAAGTGTCTTTTGGTACCGAAATTAAATTAACCTCAGAACAAACAAGAGCAAGAGACATACCCTTTTTCACACGCCAAGCATGGTACTTAGTGCAGTTCTTTATCTTGTGATTAGTCCCTTTGCAAAAGAAGCAATATGAGACATTTCCAAAATGTACTCCCTTATGTTCCCTTTGCCTTTATACTTCATGGAAACAAGAGTGCTCAAAAGAGTACTAGTTTCCGCCTTTTTGTTTTTAGCAAAACGCTTTTCAAGTTCGGCAAGGAATGATTTGGCATCGGCCTCATCAGACATTGTGCCCCTGAATGATTCTGGAATTGCACGTTTCATGATCATTAGACTCATGCGGTTTGAGCGTTCCCACCTCTCCATCTCCCTCTTTTCATCGAGGGTAGATGTGTCCTTAAGAGCGGCGGGTTTCTCAGTCCGAAGTGCAAGGTCTAGATCCATGCAACCGAGAACGATCATAACATTCTCTTTCCATTCCTTAAAATTCGTGCCGTTAAGCACTGGGATGCTATTAATATTAGCAGATATTGTAGCAGCAGAATTGTTGACTGAAAGAGAACAAAAATAATATAAATGATATGCTCTAGGAATTGAAATTAATTTTATAATTAATTTTAAATTTAAATATTAGCAATCCTCATCACAAGATACCTAGCGCAACATCTAATCTTGTCTTTGGACATAAATTAGACTTGCAAGTGGTACTCTTGGTGTGATAATAAAATTTTGATAATAAAATCTTGTCAAATATTAAGCCTTTCTTTGGACCGACTTAATATTCACACGAAAAAACTTCATAATCATCACAAATTTTATTATCACAAATGTACTTAAATTTCGGCCAAATAATAACCTTCCTTTGGGCCGATTATTATCCGCATGAAATAAGAAAGTACACAATCATCTTAATATATGAGTTAATTAATTTCAACAAGAGAGGCTACTTTGGCAGCATGTTGCGTCAATTAATCAACCCAAATATTAGACATGCTAATATTAAATCAACAATCTGAAAATAAAATTGGGCGAATTTTTCTGAATCACATGCAAATGTGTTATGTGTAACGAAATTTGTAAAACATGTACCCAATCTTTATGTGATCACAAATTAGGGTTTATACATCCATAACACATAATACATTTTTAAACTGTAAATCATGATCACCAATAAAAGTAATTTATTTCCAAATATGCAATTCTAATGGAACTGATTTTGCCTGTAATCACATATAAGTATTTAATTACCAAATCGATAATCACATATATGCACTTAATATATTACTAAAGCCATAAAATTCCAAAATTAAATTACCGAAAAATGAAGCATATCAAAATTTAATTTGATATAGGTATTCTCAGCTAAAGGCCTAATCGTTTTAAAACAAAATCGATTCCAAATCCAAAACAAATAAGCTAAAGGCTTGATTCCTTAAAGAAAGAAACTGAAATTATGATTAGTTATGAATCAATTCAGCCACATCCAAAATAATAATTGACTATTGAATCTATTTTCCAGAAAATCGATGATGTAACCCAAAAAAACTATTCAATCGCATGATTGATTGATCCCAAAACAAAACCCAGAAAAATAACAATTCGACAATTATGAAAGCCGGAGTTGTCCAATATATATATATGTGTATAAATTTGCGAATTATGTAGAAAATAACAAATCGACAATTACGAAATATGTACAATTCCACTACAACATCAATTGCCGAATTATTGTATAAATCTAAATCTGACTCCATGCAGGTAGTGGCATTAGAAACATAATAATTATAATAAAAAATACAAATCGCAGTATCCCATCATAACGTGTGAAACTGCTTTGCTTAAAGAAGAATGAATCAAAAGACAAAACGAAACCCAAGTATGCTGCCCCCAAGTATGCTACCGCAAATCAAATCGGCAGCCATACAAGAAAATTTCGATTTCCATTTAATCATCAACTAACTCCAAATAATTCAATATGAAGGTGTCTCTGATACCAATTGTTTGAATAAATCCGATAATACTTTAATCTTCATATTGAAATTATCTAGAGAATTAACTGAGCGGAAGCGTACCTGACTCCATCGGAGATGATCTTTAGGGATCCGGGAGACGGAGGCTAGGGTTTGCGTCTTCTAGCTGATACACACCCTCGGGATTATCTCTCTAGCGATGGGATGCAGAAAGACAGAATGGTGTTTACAACTAGGGACCATAACCCCTTATTTATAGAGTGCTTAACCCTAATCAGCCCATCATTGATTAGGTCAAGCCCATGGGTCTCTACACATTTGGGCCCTATACCTTATTAGATAACTTATTAGCCCACTTAAATTAATATCCATAGGACCACTAATTTTTTTTGGGCCTAAATATAAGATAGCATATAACATACAATTAAACCCGATAAATAATATATTGTGAATATTACATGTAGTATAAGTCCAATAATCTAACAAAGCTCTTGCTCTTAAAAAACCATTTACCTAAACAATTCTGTGCGCATGCATGCAGCGCAATATATGCATGTAGTATTTACAGATGCGGCATATCATCCATCAGTACTAGCTAGCTAGCTAGCTGGCCGATCGAGATCGAATATATACTACGAGTAGTATAATAATGGAACAAACATAAATCCAATCTTCCTAGCTTCTCGATCCAAGAATATATAAAATTAAGATGATCGAAGATTATGGTATTACCCCAACTTCTCCATAAATCCCAGCTTCCTCGAAGCTTTCTCGAACTGCTGCTTTTTCCAAGGGTTCATCCACTTCCCACCCACCCTACACTCATTCCAAGATTCAAGATCCGTATGCATGTAGTGTTCTTTTGTAGTGTTTACGTTGTTGAACACACAAACTAAATACCCCATATCATCATCCTTCTTATCCTCCATATAGGACACAGTATATTTTATAAATAAATCATTAGAAGAAGGAAGAAATTAGGGACCATCGATCATATATATCACCTTAGGAAACATCATCCTTGTACTTTTGTGAGAGCTGACAAGGAGGAATTCCAGATCATCAATGGGTCCCATGAATGGATGATTGCTTGGCTCTCGTGTGGTATCCGTACGGAATGCAGCTGGATGGATTGGCAAGAAAAGTCAATACACGCGGGGCTTTTCTCTCCCATCACTCATTCATACTGTAATTAATAATGCGTTCAAGTTCCATTCAATGCCTAAAGGTTTGTGTTGGAGGTATTGGTCCTACCAAGGCCTACCTTCCATCTTATTATTGACTTACACCCCATGTTTACTCCCACTTTGATATACCTATTTTTGACTATCTTCTTGGTGTTGACTTACCTACTGGGTGGCCCCCTCAGTTGTTGTCCGCTGCATTCTTTATCTATGCTGCCCGTGAGCCTTTTGTCTTTGCACTCACCCGTGACTTCCTTCTGGCCGTTGCCTATTGTTTAGAGGCCTTGGCTTCTTCCTGTGAGTGTAGCCTGCGATAGATACCTTCCTAGAGAGCAGTGCTCTACTTCTTCCTTTCCTTTGTGTGAGAGTGTGAGAGAGAGGTTACTTAGTGGTAGAGAAGAAGCTTGGTGGTGAAGAGGTCATCTCTAGTGTGGTGTATGTGAGTTAGAGTGGTTGGAGACCTGAGCCGGAAAACACGGAATACGATCCCTACAGTGGTATCAGAGCGAGGTTTGCCGTCTGCCGCCGTCCCACCGTTCGCTGTCGATTGGAGCTCGCCGCCCGCCCGTGTAGCACCATCTGTGGCCGTTCGTCGCTCAAGACGTGTGCCGTTGTCGTCTGGAAAGTTATCGCAGCTTGAAATTGCGGCTGGATACTTCCGGAATAGACTGGAGAGCAATTTCCACCGGAGCCATTGACGTCAGGGAAATCCGCCGTCCGTCTGAAGTCATCGCTGATTTGTTGTTGGACGGCCTGGACCACCGTTCATTGCAGAAGACAAAGCCAGAGCTAGTTCGTTGCCGGAGCCATTGTCGCCTGGGTGTTCGCCGTTCGCAGAAGGCCTGGAGCTCGTCCGTCGCTCTGGTCGCAGAAGGCAGAGGGACGAAGCTGGGGCGTAGTACTATTCTCTCGCGCAGAAGCAGAGGACCTGAACTGATTATTGGGCTTCTGACTTTGGGAGCTGCTGAATTGAAAGTTGGACCTGGGCTTCAGGAGGTGCTGGACCAGGCTGTTGGGCTACCAAGCTACTGGACCTGGACAGGAATGCTGGAGTTGCTGGAGCAGCTGGACCGCTGTCAACACTGGTCAATACCGGTCAACGCCGGTCAAACTCAATCAACAGTCCGAAAATCCCAATTTTTTAATTGGGTAGGTAAGGTCGAAACCCTCTCCTAGGGTTTCGCTAAGGTAAATTGGCGATAAACACCCTAGGAGAACCGGGTGCCTCCGGATTTAATTTATTCCCCCTCCCCGCGGGCCGCCGATAGATTGTATCTCGGCCGCCAACCCCCCAGGTGCGTTTGCTAAACCCTCTCCTTTGTGGCAGATTATTTGAGTTGATTAAATTGAATTGCTAAGTGTTGTTCATTTCAATTCTTGTGCGTAGGGGTGGTTTATTGTGTAGAAATCTTGTTTTAGGTTTATTACTGCTTTTAAAATTGATTGTATTGTTGTGCTGTTTTGTGCTGAAAATTTATTATTTATTTGTGCTTACACGGAACAACAAGGGGTTTGAACTTGAGTTTGGTGCTCATTAATACTCCCCACGTGTTCGTGCTAGTTGCTCCCTGATGGATAGTGTACCCGGGGGGTAGCTTATCCGAGGGGTTATTACGGGGAGTAATAAGAGAGAAGTGAGAGCAAGTAAATATATAGAGAGAAAGTATATTATAAAGTGTGGAGCGTTTTCATCGTGTCATGACTTGGTTACAAATGGGGAAATGGGGTGCTATTTATAGTAGCAATAAATGCCGGACAGGGACACGTGTCAAGCGCCCATTGGCCGAGAGGTCACCTCAACTGGTTGGCGCTGGCAGCCGCATGTGGCCGCATTTAATGCGGCTGTTGGATGGGACGTTTGTACAGGGTACGGTGATCTGTACGCATGTGGTGCGGATATCATGTCGGGAAAGGTGCCCTCAGCTGTAGAGGAGTAACCGAGGGCTCTGAGTACTGGGGACCCTCTTGGTGCCGAGGGCTCCAGGTGCCGAGGGCTAGTGATTTTCACCGTTTTCCCCCAGCCATCTTGTTCTCCTGTTTTGGCCCTCTTGTGGGAGTTAGAGCCCTCGGCCAGGGGGCGAAGGCACCCCTGGTGCGCATTGTGGGCTGCTTGGTACTCTGGGCGCTGTGATTTGGGCCTGTTGGGCCTTCTGGGCCTTGTTTGGAGTAGTAGGAGTCTGTGGGCCGGGGGTTCCCGGGCCATATACTCCATCAGGAGTCCCTCACTCCTTTTGTCGAAAGGTACTTGAGGGAAAAGGAGTAATTGTGCTTGTCCTCTGCCGTTGTTTCGTCGTAATCTCTGAGGTTGGTGAGGAGTTGTTGCTTTCATGTCCCTGCCGAAGGCAGTCCCTCAGTTACCCACATGTCGGGACTTGAGGGATTGCTTTGCCGTTTGTTGGAATTTTTCACCATTTTGTAATTTAATGATTTTGCCGGGGGGGGGGGGGGGGGCCTCCAGTCCCCCACTCCTTGAGGCACTTGTAAAGTGGTGAAAAGGAGTGAAGTAGTTGCGTTGCTGTTGCGGGCCGAAGGCTGACGCTTTTCGTTTCATTTTGGGGGGGGATGCCTCGTTAAAAACCTCATTAGGAAAAAACCCTGTGGGAAAAAATCCTAATGAGGGAAAAAGAGTGCACCGAGTTCCCCCAACGATGAATCGAAAATGTGAAACCTTGGTCCAAAATGGAGAATAACGGTAATGCCGAAGGCTCTCCTTGTTCTGAGGGCTCATGTGTTGAGTAGCCGGAGGCTTGTCGTTGATGTCATGGGAGGTGCCAAAGGGGAGCCCCTCAATCTGGGGATCGAGGGCGTGATGGATGAGGGCAGTAGTTGAATTGTTACCAGGGTGTCCCCTGCTTGTTGATTAGTTGGTGATGAGGATATCCGAGGGCTCCCATTACATGTGTGCCGTAGGCTATCCATCAATGAGGCATACTCCCCGGGGGCTACCCGACCCTTACAGTGCTGAGGGGGAATCCCCAAGGGGTGGCCTGATATGAGGCCTTAGGCTTCTGAAGGAGTGATCCCGAAGGCGACTGTTATGTACTGTGTGGGGCACAACCCGGGGGCGTCTCTGGGTAAGTGTACCCGGAGGCTCTCCTTGATGAAGTGGAGTGAAGTAAGAAAATCCGGGGGCTCCCAAAATATAGCCGTTGGAAATATAGCCGTTGGAATATGTAACGTCAGGATATAGCCGTTGGGGGGGGGGGTACACGTGGCGCGTGATGGTTGGCTGTCCGTGGGCGGCGTCACCGGTTGGGCGAAGACACGGCGTGTAATGATGACAGTCCATCCGGAGGCCCGGTTTCCAGGCCCAAGCCCGGATCCCAGCGCCTATAAATACCCATGGCCGGGCTTCCTTCCCCTTGTGCGAAATCCTTATAGCGAAGCTCTGCCAAATTTTCTAGAGAGAGAAACAACAGCCCTCGATCAGATTCTAAGGTCAGTTCTCCATTCGCACTTCACCTCTTAGCTAGCTATCTTTGTGGCCATAGATTAGGTGGGTAGCTTAGAGTACTTAGCGTCTCCGAACCCTCAACGTAGTATAGCAATGTCCTCACAGAGTGATTCTCAAGACATCTCGGGGGCGCCCTTGATGGAGGATGAAGTCCTCTCGGATGTGGAGTCCTCAAACGAACAGTCCTCGGCCCAGGAGGATGTTGCGAGGCAGTAGAAGTGCAGAAGGAGCTGTTGGCTGAAGTTGAAGCCGAGGGCTTCGAGCAGGAGGTGGAAGACGAAGAGCTGGCCCTCGCCATGCAGGTTGCCAGCACCTCGGGGTGCCGGTGAGGCCAGCACCTCTCGGCCGCTGAACGCGGTTCCCATCCGGGTGGCCCCTGGAAAGAAGAAGGCCAAGGTAGCTGCTCCCAAGAAGAAGGACAGCGTTGCAGATCAAGGGAAGCCCCTTGATATGCCCGAGGGGTACTCCTACCTGAACACCGCCGCCTTGGAGATAAGGTCGAAGGTTGATGCGGCGGACATCTACGTCACTCAGCTTCACGTGGGCCCCTCGGCCATCGTAGTGACACCGGGTCCAGATAACATCCTCTCCCGGGCTCCCGAGGGCTGTATTGCGGTGCACGTTCTCTCGGTGTCCATGGGGCTCCGCTTCCCCCTGCACCCTTTCCTCCGGGAGTACCTCCGGTTCGTGGGTCTGGTCCCCTGCCAGCTGACCCCGAACAACCATTCCTACATTACTGGCTTCCTCCAGCTCTGCAAGTCCTGGGGGGTGACGCCTAGCCTGGACCTCTTCTTCCAGAGCTTCAATCTGTGTCGGGGGGGGGGGGGGGCATGCGAATGCCGAGGGCTTCGCAAACTTGCATCAGGTGGCAATGTTCAAGCTCTTCACTGAGGCGCCCTCCTCGAACATGGGGTGGAAGGACCGATGGTGCTACGTGAAGCTGACCGAGAGCCCCTTCCTGAGGGAGTTGCGTGACCGTTTCAGGAGGCACGAGAAGAGGAGGAGCGCCGCCCTTGAGAAAGACGGCAGGATTCTGGCCACGATCCCGGAGGGCCGAGACAAAAATATTACCATTAAGGAGTGCACCAAGGAGGAAGATCTCTACATCCTCGGGTTCCGGCGGTACCGCTTCCTGGGGGAAACAGATGAGAAGTTCCCGGTGTTTGAGGGAGCCTCCGGAGGTAGTGGCTGAAGGCACCCTCATTTTCATATCTTAGCACATAGTTTATCTGTTTGTTCTTTTATTTCTTGTGCCTTCTGTTAGTAACCCCTCGATTTTAACCCCATACTATTTTTGCAGGTATCCCAGTGAATATGATGAACGTCAAAGGCCTTGCTCG